CTGCTAAAGGAATGGAGAAAAACGCATTGATGGTGGCACCACTTTGCTGCCTTGAACTCCAGTTCGTACTGAAGTTCCAGCATGTCTGGCACAGCATCACTCAGTGGTGGTCTGACTTCGTTCAGACCGCAATAGTCCACTGTCAGTCTCTGTGGGTGAGGGTCTGTAGTGACGCTGAGTCCCCAGGCAGGTGCAAAGGAGAGATGCTTTACTGCAAAAACCAGGCCTTTTTAAGCAGTTAGCCCATTATCAATTACATAGTTTTAAAGCATAATAAACATAATTCAACCAACCACCATATACGACAATGTGAACACACGATATTTATATAACTTGTTTTTCTATCCCTAATTCAGCTGAGTCTCTTTCCCACAGTCCTTTTCTACTTAGCTGAAGTAACAGGCCCGAGCCATGATTTTACAAGGCCTTCCTTTTGTAAAGTTTTACTTATCAGTAACAAGTCTCCACTCTCCACTGGACTTATGCACAGGCCATACAGAACTATGAAAGGATTAGGGATTATTGCTGACCACTACCTGGCTCTCCAGTTCACGAATCATTTATATGGACGGTGGTCACAGAGTCCTGGTTGGTGTGGTATTTTTGATGGTGCACTGTTGTGATAGTGATTGGTACCTGTTATTCTTCAACCCTCAGCAGTCCCACAGCAGAAAGGTCCTTTGAGAGACCAGGCAAGGTATTCAACTTATTTCCTTTGTCTCCATGACAGCTATCCCAAAAGCCCAATGATGCCCTTTTGAGTCCTTGAAATACCTTCTCCTGAGGTAATCTATGCCAAGGATGCACAGGGCCTCTGGGCCAGTCACAATGGGGTGTTTTTGACATTCATTCCCAATCAGGCTCACTTCAGCTTCCAGTACAGTCAGTTATGGGATCCCCCTGTCATCCCAATAATAGAGAGGGATTCTGCCCCTACATGTCTTGATGGCACCAGGGTACATTGTGCACTGGTATCAACTAAAGCCTTATACTCTTGTGGGTCTGATGTGCTAGGCAATCTGATCCACACAGTCCAATAGATCTGATTGTCCCTTTCCTCCACCTGGCTGGAAGCAAGTCCCCTCTAGTCCTGGTCATAGCACTTGTTGCTCACTTGTAAATATGACCTGAAGGTCCCTTCAAGAGGATCAAAAGTAACATCAGCCCTTCTGTTCTGTCTGAGGACTTGCCTACAGGAAACTGGAGCAACATTTATCCTTGAAGAATTTCTTATGGTTGCTGTTTTCCCTTCCAAGTCACATCCCCGTGCTGCTAGAGCTGAGGTGGGTTTTCCATCCCATCTCCTCATGTCCTCTCTGTGGTCATGCAGGTAAAACCACAGGTTACCTCAAGGTATGGACCCTTTCTCTTGAGCAGGGGTGTGCTTGCTCCCAATAGCAGAGACTCTGGTCCATACTGGTGGGGCATGGGACATTTCCTCTCTTACTTCCTTAAGTCTTTCCAATCTGTCCGCAGTCTTGGACAGTCTTTCCACAGCCGAGGCGCAGGTTGGTAGGGAGGAAAAAAGATTATCATATTGCTGGAGTCGGGTAGTCACCTGAAGCACTGTCTGTTCTCCTTTCATTGACATCAGTGCCAATGAGTTGGAGTACAATGATGGCATGCTCCATGCAAACTTCCGCCGCATGGATTGTGTACACCAGACCTCATCTGAATCTATAGGAGACTGCTTGTTATTTGAATTCCTATAGAGTACCTCCAGCACAGCTAATTCTCTCAGGTACTGGATACCTTTCTCCATGACTTTCCACCTGCTTGGGCACACTACTAGATCATCCTTGAGAGAATACCTTTCCCTCACACTTGACAGGTGTCACCTCCAGAGGCTGAGTTTCTGTCCTCTTCCCAATCCCCTTGTCAATGCCCGCATCCCTGGACAGGGATCCCAGTTGCTTGGCTTTGCTACCATCTAGTTTAATATTGTGGGCTGCGCTATTCCAGCATTGGAGCAGCCAGGTCAATAGGGGCTTACCTAGCTGGCATCTAAACTGTTTTCGCATATCTCGCAGCTCACCCAGATATAGGGATTGGGTGATTATCACTGGCCCTGCCTTTTCCTCCTGTTGTGAGGGTCCTTCTTCATCCTTCACTAAGCAAACTGATTTGGTCTTGGATTTCTTCTTCTGTATAGGGGCAACTGCTACCAGCACTGGTTGTTCCTCTGGTTCAGCTGCAGTTTGAGTGGCCACAGTGCCTGTTGCTCTGCTTTTCTCCTCCTCCCCCGAGGGTGCTGTCTAGTATCAAGCAATGTCTGATAAATAGTAGCCAGGGCCCAACACACTGCAATAAGTTGCTGCTCCCTGGTGTTGCCACAGCATTCTCCTTGAAAATATTCTGTCACTTTATCAGGGTCTTGTAGTTGTTCGGTGTGGACTTCCAAACCATTGGAGCAGAGAATGTCCCCAAATACTGGCCTATGTCCTCCCACATTGCATGCCACTCAGGACTATCCACTCTCAAGGCAGATCTCTGAAGGACCTTCCTAGAAATCTCTTTTGTAACTCTATACATGGTGTTGACCGTACTGAGACCTGGTGGACTTAGCAACAAGAACATGCTTTCCTTAACATCCAAAGGGAATTCAAAATTCTCAAAAGCTGTTGTAACAGGCCTGAAGGAGGAAAAGCTGGGGAAATTCATCCATCCCTGTTCCCCCCACAGGCTGAGTATGATTATTAATGAATTCCCAGAGGCAACACCCAAGGCCAGGGCAGGAGAGCAACACTGAATATACATCCCAAATGATCCTCATTGCCCTTGATGTTAATCATGTCATAAGCTGATATCACACAGGACATTAACAAAACAATCCTGATCCCTTTGCCTGCTCTGAAAAAGAGCACTCTGAGGAGCACATAAGGGAATATATACAGGGTTAGATGCCACAACCACATGAATAGACCAAGTAACATTTTAGCCAGTGGCTCTGTACCTAATATCAAAATTGCATCTGTAGTGGTTTAAAACAAGCAGGGAATTAAACCCTGTCTTGGTTTGAAAGACAGGTGTCGGCAGAGGGAGGTGGGAACCTCCCTTGAAACGGAGAATATGACCCCCTTCTCTCCAAATTATTATAACTTTGAAATTAAGGGGCTTTCAAGCACAGATATGGGAAAAGGAATAACAGTTCTTTACTAGTATGTATATGGATAACAAGGCAAACAAACAACAATGGCAGCAACAACAAACAAAACCAGAAAACCAGTAACAGCCTTCTCTCAGTTGCAGGCACTTTCCCCTTTGGAATAGTTATGGTCACAGCCAGCAGGGGTGCTGGTGGCTCCCTGGCTGGGCAGGGCAGGTGCGATGATTCTTCCGCAGCTGCAGGGGGTGCTGTGGCACGAGTTCGGCCATCTCTCTCACATGGTAATGGTGGATGCACCTGGCAGAAGGGATGGAAAAGTGGCTTCCTTTACAAACTCCCAATGGCAGATGATCCTGGTGCCCCTCCAGATGGTGAGAAGAGCTGTAGCAGGAACCTCGGAAGCAGCAAGGGACGAGCAAAATACTGGAGTGGTAGATGAGATGTATCAGAAACTCCACAGCAGTAGCTGGAACCGTGGGACATCCCGGCAGGCAGGGGGTGTAGGGTTACGGTGTAGCAAAAACACAAAGCAGTGGCAAAGAAACAGCGGGGGCTGGGCAGCAGCAGCCCGGCTCCCAAACACGGCTGGAAGAGGTTCCATTGGAGGGGAAAAGGGCTCAGGATCCCAGTGTTTCCCCTGAGGCACCTTAGCAGATGGTGAAAGTTCTTTTTTTAGTGAGGTGTAGGGTATTAATAAGGTCCCAGTTCAGTGGCTGCTCTCATGAGCAAAGGCTTATCCATGGCAGTGAAGCGATATGCGGAATAAATAGACTCCACAACCTGATGTAGTTATGAAGTGGGTATGTATTGTCAACCCCTTTTCCCCAGCCAAATTCTCATGGCATCTCTGCCCCTCCAAGAGAAACCCTCAGATAAGAGATGTGCAGCCAGGTGCCCTCCTCCCCTGAGCTTGGCAACTTCTTTTGTCTCTCTTAAGCACTCGGTCGTTAGGGTTCCTTAGTGAGGGATAGGACAAAATTCCATGAGAGAAAGAAACAAAAGGAAAAATCCTAAACCCCAAAAAAGCCACTCCCCTTCCCCCTGCCTCCCTCTAGTGAGAAAGGGACAAAGGCAGAGACTGGGTTAAGATAACAATTTACTAAAAAGAAAGAGCAACGTGATGAGAAACAAACAGTAACAGCAACAATATTAATAACAGAAGTATACAAAAATATGATTTACACACAAAAGATGCTGTTATAGATGAGTAATGAGATGGTTGGCTCTCACAATTAAGGGGTGAAAATTATATGCATGTTAAGAGAAGTTTTGTAGATGTATAGTTATGTTACTGTAATATGTCCTCCCCCTTGAATTGTTCTCATGGGATGGCCTTGGTAGTTGGGGCATTTGGAGAGGGTTGGCTTGTTACTACAGTAATACCTGACTTCCAAAGAAGATGTAAGAAATTGATCTCCACCACTAGATGGCAAGGAAGGAGTCAACTGACAAGACTTCAGAAGGGGCTAGAGGTATAAAAGGTAGAGCATCCATTTTGAAGAGGAGCACGTGGCTGATAGTCTCAGGAGCTCCCAGTGCTGTAATTTTTCCTTATTTAGTCCTTTTGTTGTATTTTTTGTAAAGGTTTAATGAACCTTTTAAAATTTTAAAAGTGAGCAGTTGTTTCTCACAATGCTCACCACCTTGACTCAGTTCCCTGTTGCCGCCAAGACAAAGACAAAATGGCTGATGATTCTTGTTATAGGTAAGAAATTGAACCAGCCAATCTAATAAAAATAAAAATAGAATTTATTTGCAACCAATATACAGTCCCGACAGCCAACAATCAAGGAACAGCACCAACCCCGGGATCGGAGCTGGGTGAACACGGAATCCAAGCTAGCAGCGAATCCCCAGTGTTCACACAGAGAGCCTGGTAGAGCCGGCTTAAATACAGTTTTTCTAGCCCGAGGCAGAGTCTCTTGTCTTCCATTCAGGACTCTCGTCTTTTTTTCAGGTTTTCCCATATTCATGTAGTTTCTTTTCTCTGTGCAAAAGTCCAACAAAGCTCATCCCGGAATCGATGTATTTTCGCTGCTGAGTTCCTGGAATATGTCTTCCAGATCTAAGTTTCTGATGGCTCAGATTATCTAGGTCAGACATCTTCATGGGCCATCATCGCTGAGTGGCTCCTGGTTCATTCCAGAGAGAACACCCATCTCCTGTCTCAGGCCAGTCTTTTTCGTGTGTTAATTCGGATTCCTTTCCTCTGCTGCTAGCTGTGGTTTCCTCACTCCCTGTAGCAATCCCTTGTCTCTGGCTAGTGTGCCCATCATGATTTGTTTTATTAGAAATCACACTATATCCTATATAATACCCATACCACATCTCACAGAATACTCATAATGTATGAATTATCAATATACACATACACATATAGTCTCAATCAGCATGATTTACCAAAATACACATAACAATTCTGCAGCCCAGCAGTGACATGTAGTCTTCCTGAGACAAAGAAAAGATGGTGGACCTTTCCACAGCCATTGTTCTCCTTCCCTGAGCCTGAGCCAACAAAAAACAATGACAGACAAATCTTCCAAGCCGGCTCATCCATGCTGCGCCACTCCAACTATTCCCAGACTGGCCACCCTGCTCTGCTGGGCTTGGCTGTGTTTGACAGTTTTCAGCTGGGCTCAGCTCAACTTGGCTCTGCTCAGCTCCATTTGGCTCCACTTGGCCCCAGTTGGCATGGCTCTGCTCGGCTCTCATCAGCTCAACTGTGTTCTCTTCTTGGAGTTGTCTTCTCCCAAGAACCGGAAGTGATAATGAACAATGGCAGACAGGTTTCCCCCTCCTGCAATGCTTTTCTTGACCCCAAGCTGTGCCCCTCTTCTTGAAGGGAGAGTTCCTTACTTCCACCCCTGGTAATAATATGAAATTGTATAGACTAACAACCTAGACACGCCCACACGTCTCCAGAGCCTGCCCCCTCACAGCTAGTGTGAAAAAATTAAATCTGTCCTTTTCAGAAACTAGGATACCCTCTCCCCCTGTTATTGGCTTGGTTGATGTGGTGTGTGCCCCATGTGCTGTATGTCCCTCCTGTCACTCACCAGACCTAACCCTGACGTCCTTTATGTGTCAATCAAACACTTATGAACAAGTTGGAGTGCCTTCTTAGGAGCCCCAAACAAGGGAATTTTTTTCTCCCCATCCCCAGATCCAACTGCATTCCATCCAGAATATGTAGGCATGGCTTTGCTTTCAAAGGTTTCTAGTCTGTGTCATAGTTTGACATGGGAGGAATTTAAGGAAGTGATGCAAAAGCTTTTTATATAACTAACAGTCTGTTGAACCACTGAGAAGCTGAACACGCCTCTGTGAAAAACACATGTTAAAGACGAAAATCCCAGGAAAGTTGTCTTTCTGTTCCAGTTGGCAAGAAGGTAACACGCCCCGGGCCCCTCTCTCGACCGGGCTGGGCGCCCCCCCCCCCGCCCCTTTCCCGGGGTGCCCACTGGGCCCCGTCCCGGGCCAGCCCGGGCAGGCTTTACTGCGGGGGGCCGGGCCCGTCTCCGGGGAACTCCGAGCCCTGTTCTGGCCAGGCCAGGTCCCCAAACAGCTGCCAGGCAGGAAGATGGGGGAGGCTGCGGAGCCCTGGCCGGAGCAAGGCCAGCCGCGGCTGTTAAGATCTTCCCATCAGGTCCCCTCCCCCTAGCACGGCTGAGACCAAAAACAACTCTACAACCCATGCAGAGTGGCCCTGCGGCTAGAATTAAACACACACACAAAAAAAAAAAAAATCAAAAACCAACCATGAAGGCAATCCTGACGCAGCCCCAGCCGCAGCTCCCCACAAGTTACCAGTGGGTCAGGTGACCATCTGCAGAGCCCAAGCAACATATTAACCCTTTCAGTACTTCAATCCTCCCTCAAGTGAGAGAAAGAAACAAGATGCAAGCATATTAAAAAACACATGAAAACATCATGATCAGTGAAGAAGTTAAGTCCCAAGTGGGAGAGATGAGGAGATACCTTAATTTTGGAGCTGAAATCCTCTTATAAACTATGGAGAAAAAACTCTTTTTCCCTATAACACATGAAACTAGAGAGATAAAGGATTCAAACTGATATCAAACAAAGACCTCCATACTAAAGTAAACAGATGTTAAAGTAGCTGTGATCCCATGAAAAGTTTAAACAGAAAAAGAGAGTAGTCCTGTACCCCCAGGAGAAGAAAAGATCTCTGTTCCCAGGGATGAAGATGATTTTAGAAATAAATAATGAAAACTTTTACCTTTGAACAGCTCATCTTTAAAACAATACCCCATAAATCAACATGACCCATCAACAAACTGTAGAAAAGTTTACAGAAGATGGGAGGGACTTCACAATGGCAAAGTTCCCTGAGTGGCTGTTATTGGTAAGGAAATTGAGAACCACAAAAGAACTGTTTTTTTCCTCTTGTGAAGAAATCTTCATAACATTAACAAGAGGGACTTCTCTCCCTAAGTAAACTAAAAAAACAAAACAAAACTATTTTAAAAGTGATAAACTGACTAAAAATTTTAAGTTTTGTTTCTTTACATTATCAGTAGAAAAAAAAAAGGTTGTGGGGGGAAGAGAAGTGTTCTAAAAAGTTTATTTTAATTCCTACTACTTTTTTTCCTTTTAGTTACTATTAATAAAATTTTCTTTATACCTTTTTAAAGTTTTAAACCTGCTTTACCTTTCTCCTAATCCTATCTCACAGCAGGAAGTGAGTGCACTAGTAATTAACCAACACAAAACCCACCATACTCATTAGTACATTAATTGAAAAATCTCAAAATTAATAAAATCTCAAATTAGCAAACCAAACCACTACAGTCTGACAAGACAGCTTTCCATATCTTAAGTATCTTTGCAATACTTTAACAGGTAAAACCACTGTGGAAAGTTCCTGTCAAAGGGCCGAGGTTTACCTGAGTATAGATCACAATGCACTGGGAGTCAGATCTCCACTGCTGAGTAAAAAGCTTTTGTTTTGCCATGAATTCCAGTGAGACATGGTCTTTCTGTGGCCTGTTTTTTGTTGTATTTAACCCAACTGACAATGACCATCTCCTTGGGCTGAGAAGACAAGCTGCCATGGTCACCTGTAACCCCTTCCACATCACTCCCATGTCAGAGTTAAGGCCATCGTTGACCAAGGAAGGTGGATGAGACTGCTGCCATCTCCAAAGAACTAGAAAAGAGAGGTTTGAAGCAAGGGTTGTTTATCTCCCACTCAGGTCACCACCTTGCAGGTTCTTGCAAGGTCTAAACCTGGCCTCTGGCAGTAAAGGACAGTTGCTTTGAGCCCTAAACCAGGTTATAAACCCCATGTTTTTTATCAAACATGCAGAAATTAGGACATCTTCCAGTGGTTTTTTCTGATGATGGTCTTCCATATCATATGATAGATTTATTCACTGTGCAAAGGAAACACCAGGGAAATGGGCAAGAGCTTTGACAGTTTTATACAGTTTGGACATGGTGTGATTTTTGGGGTTGTTCCTGTGCAGGGCCAGGATTTGGACTCAATAATCCTTGTGGGTCCTTTTCAACTCAGAATATTCTAATTGATGATGATGATGATGATGATGATGATGGTTCAGAGCTAGTTTCTGATTGTAACAAATCAGATGGACTCTTCTCAGGGCTGGTTTAATTTTTCTGGCTGTCATCCAGTTCAAGCAGACTTAGTGATGTTGACTTGCAATTCCTGGGGGTGTCTTTCCAAAATGGTGGGGACAGAGATGCCTTTTCTATTGTGATTCCTGCAGCTGATACTGTTCAGATGGGCAGGATTGGGGCCAGACTGCCCAGTTGTTTGGAGAATAGTGGACCTGTAGCATGCTCCTGCCTGGATGGGAAGGCCTTGGGGTGCTCTTGCACCTCAGTTGGGTCAGCTAGGTTCAGAGACATGGGTTTGGGATCATAGAATCATAGAATACACTGAACTGGAAGGGACCCATCAGGATAATTGAGTCAAACTCCTGGCCCTGTGCATGGCACCCCAAGAATCATACCATGTGCCTGAGAGTGTTGTCCAATCACTTCTTGAACTCAGACAGGCTTGGCACTGTGACCACTTCCATTGATGCCTTTTTCTCTGGTCCTAAAAATACGAGCCAGACACAGGGTGATAAAATGGGTACCTTTATATGAGGATCCTCAGGTGCAAAGTCTGGTGGAAAATGCTGAAGAAGCACACCACACGTAACACGTGTACAATTTTTAAAGATTCTGCAAATTAGCATATCTGACAAGAACCCCCCCATTAAGAACCCGCCTGGTGAAGTTATTCCTCTAGTTCTAGTACCTTCTAGATTCTTCCCCCTTAGGATGAGATCCAGGCCCTGTTTACAAAAATATGTCTCAAAAAGCTAGTTTCAGCCTTGGTTTCTAAGGAGAACCAAGATAGCGTAGGGGTCCTGGAATTTCTTTTGTCTTTCTGCCTAGGAAAATATTGAAGCTAAGCTACAATAAGAAGCTACAAGGCTACAAATATGTGTGTAAAGAATGCAGAGAATAAGTAAAAAGGTTTCCCCTCCAGACCCTTTACTATCCTCATGGCCATCCTCTGTACACTCTCTAATAGCTTAATATCTTTGTTTTATTGTGGTGCCCAAAACTGCACAGAGCACTCAAGGTGAGACTGCACCAGTGAAGAGCAGAGTAGGTCAATCACTTCCTTTCACCGGCTGGCAATGCTTCACTTGATGCACCCCAAGACACGGTTCTCCCTCCTGGCTGCCAGGGCACACTGCTAACTCATATTCGACTTTCCATCAACCAGGACCCCCAGGTGTAACGACTGAGACACAGACTCAGTCTAGCAGGAAATCTGAATTGTTTATTCAAAGAAACGAGCTGGTTTTATATGCTTAAGGGACAGTATTTCCTTATATGGTAATTCTCACTATGTGACCTATCTCACGTTGCCACGTCAGCAACACACTTTCCTAATGTCCTTCTATTGAGTCCTTAAAAACGAAAATCACGGACAGAGACTCTCAAACTAGTTAAAGTTAGAAAATGGTATGTTAACACCAGTGGGTGGCACGGGAGTCATCTCCAAAAGGCGTGACCGCTCTATACAAAGTTCTTTGCCCTCTATTTATTTCCAGTGATCTTACATACAATACATATGCATAACCTCAGCACTGCCCATCCCCGCTCTGTATTAAAATGAGGTTATTAGTCCTTCATACATGCACAATTCTTCTCTTGAATTGGGTTGGTGGTCTTGAATTGGGTCAGTGGTCTTAAGGGATGAAGTCAGGAATGTCTTCATCAGGTCTCTGTGACCCCCTGGCAAGATCTATGGTCACCTGCTTCCTGATTGATTGACATAACGCCCAGGTGCTAGCCATTGTTCTAATGGCTTCACTTCCTTCTATAAACAAGTTCATAATGGCAAACAATATAGCAATCAGCTCTAGCTTAAGCATCTAATAATCATTAACCTATCATCTACTTATCTAACTTACATCCTGATCGATATGAATTGCTTCTAACCCTCAGCTGAAATCTTAACTCTTTAAGATCATGATTCATTATGAGGTGATCACACGCTGTTCACTTGTCAGTCAGCTTCCAGCAGGCTTCTCTCTGTCAGGGTCTGCCACGTGACACCTCGTCCCCCCAAGGTTAGGCGGAGACAGGCCTGTCTGTGCCGCCATGTGCTTCTTTGTGCTGCCATATGCTTCTGCAGGCACGTCCCACAGCCCACAGTTCAACTCCATCCCATCTCTTCCCACACCCAGGTATCTTTCTGCAGTGCTGCTCTCCAGCCTCTCATTCCCTAGTCTGCATGTACATCCAGGGTTGCCCCATTCCAACTGAAGAATCTGGCATTTGTCTTTGTTAAACTTCATACAATTGGTGATTGCCCCTCTCTCTAATTTGTCCAGGTCTCTCTGCAGGGCATCTCTGCCCTTGAGGGAGTCAACATCTCCCAATTTAGTTTCACTGGCAAACTTAGTATTTCGAGTCCCGCATCCAAGTCATTAACGAAGATGTTAAGGTAAACTGGGCTGAGGATGGAGCCCTGTGGAACCCCACTAGTGACTGGTCCCCAGCCTTATGTAACCCCATTCACTATAACTCCTTGTGCCCAACCCATGAGCCAGTTGCTTATTGTGGTGGTTTTATACTGGAGGCACTCACGGAAGTGACTTTTTAAGAAAAGCGGCTAGCAGTTTCCTCCGTGTCTGACAAAAAGACTGTCCTGGGTTGACTGTATGATGCTTTATATGGTTTTTTTACTGATTACAATCAGTAATTGGCTTTGAGAATTGACAATCTGTTAAACCACTAAGAAAACTGTACATGCCTCTGTGAAGACATGTTAAACATGAAAAAAAGCCAAGGAGGGTCTCTTTTTCTTACAGTCTGGAAGCAGGTAACAATGCCAGCCTGGCCTCCATCCCAGTTGGGCCAGGCCCCTTCCCGGGGAGCCTGCCAGGCCCCATCCCAGCCAGGCTGAGCCCTAGTGGCTGCAGGGCAGGGGGATGGGAGGTCATCGGCCGCTGAGTTCAAGCCTGGCTGCTGAGATCCTAGCCCTTCCCCCAGCACAGCTGCTGGCAAAACCCAGAGGTGGCTCTGCAGCCTTCGAAGAAAGCAGCCCTGTGGCTGGAATTGAACACAGCAGGGGGCCGGAAAACAGCCATGCGGCCAGAGCAGCCACTGTCGTTCTGGCCTGGGCCCCCTGAGATTCTGACACAGCCCCAGCATGGCCTGAAGATCCATCACCATGAGTGCCCCAGCCACTGCTCGGCAGTCTGCAAGTCCTGGGTGAGATATTAACTCTTTCAGTGCTTAAATTCTTCCTCAAAT